TACAAAACAACACCACCTTAGTACTAGAGAATTTTTATATTGGTTTCCATAAGAAAGGTTCTGATCCTGCTTCAAGACTAAGGTTGACTATTCAAACTTTAAAACAAAACCAAAAAACAACCCACTACTCAAAAGGAAGAAAAAATGTAATACTCATAGGATATTATAATTACTTACAGAAAAAGCTTCATCTTTTCTGAGCTAAGAGCAAGTTGTAGCCAAAAACTTGTTATCCTAAAATTTTAAAGAAACCACAGTCTCATTCATTCTTTACTGAGAAATACAGTACTGGTTTACAAATGGAATATGAAATTTCCTTTCAGTGTGAAAATTTTTCAAAATGTTTTGAAATTTTATACCATTAGAATATGAGTATTGTTAAGTGTTATAGGTAGGTTTTTCTGAATCATGTCTAGGACATGTTTTCAAACCTTTTTCTAACAGTTTTTTTCTCCTTTCACAAAAAAAGATTTTGAAATTATTATATTAAGAATAGTGAATGTCTTAAATCATTTCATCTAGTTCATTTAAAAGATGTTTTAATGTAATATCCTCATTTCAGTACCAATTACCTTAAATAAGTTGACTAAAAATATCAGGTTAACTGTATAAATGTTAAGAATGTTTAAAAAGACATCCAAATAAGTGTATCCATCAAAAGTAATATTCAGTAAAATGAACAAATACTTGGAAGAAAATAGCCACGAGTTTAAGATCCTAACGTGGTGCTCAAACCATGTTGCTTTCAAAATACAAAAAAGTTTTAAAAAAATTTTTTAAACAGGGTAAACCAACTTTTAAAAGTGTGCTACCTCCCTACTTTAAATTAATTCATTTTAAAAGGCTATGGGCAAGAGTAACAGTAACTAAAATGGTACAATCTGTTAATATTACATATAGAATGTCTGATGCAAGAAAACTTGCCTGATTTTGTCTAGAAAATTAAATGATCTTCTGAAATATACATAATTCCCCTCCCCCCATGACTGAGATGCAACCTGGTGATAAGTACTGACGCAATCAATTTATTAAGCCTACTACATGGCTAGCCATTTTGGATACAAATACAACAAATTAAACAAAAACCTTAACAAGGAGCCCATGTGGTCAAAGGCTATGCCACATCATGCTATACCATCCTATAACATCTTTTACACCAAAATAAAATATGAGCATACGGAAAATAGTATGATAACTAAAACAAGTTAACAAAAAACCTGGACATTCACTAGTGTTCATAATTCTCCCCACCAAGCTGAGCAGTCACCACAGCATAGAAGAGGAATAATTAGAGGGAACAGCTCTCATAAAGTTCATGGAACTTTTAGCCCATATTAACAAGTGTTGTCAATGACTTCCTCATAATACCTGCCACAGATACTCAAAGCAGAATTTTATAGTTACCTACTAACAGGCAGTCTGTATTAGCAGTTTACAAAACCAAAAAAAACAACAAAAATTCCTGGTCCAGTAACACTTAAACGTTTATATATTTCAATACTAATGTAGTTAAATATCACATCTATGCTATATGGCAACAGTGAACCTCCACGATTATTACTTGTTTTATGTTAAACAAAAATATGACACTACGATTCACCTTTTAAGTTCTATAATGTGTATTTGGAGAGAGAGAATGGAGATGAAATGACTTCCTATAATGTAAAAATGGCAAAAGGCAGTTCTAACAACGGGGGAGAGAAGGAAAGAGTAAGGAAAATCAATAGTTAACAAAGCAAAACATTCCACCAGCTTTCAGTCCCTCTTACCCACCAACGACTGCCACGAGGACCACCTCGCTAAGACATTTTGACAGCCAGGAGTTTCCAGAAGGTGGACTGCTCTGCAGTTTAAAACAAATTATACACGGACGCTGCCTGGACTTTTGCGATTGTGTTTGTTTCAACCAATGTTCAGTTAGGCCGAGATATCTTAAAAAAGAAGCTTCCCCAAGAGAAGTCCAAAGAAAACAGAGCCCAGAAATCCAAACTGCATAAGGCAAGTGTCCTGGCGAAAGGAGGGGACACAACTAGGGGCCTTATTTGGCAGAGAAAGGTGCACAGTGTTCCAGAGTGGGGGTGGGGAATAAGAAAAAAAATTAGTTTAAAACCAGGAAGGGGGAGAATAGAAGGGGGGGGTGTAAATTAAGACATTAGGCGAATCTCTCCCCACCCCCACTTCCCCCGAGAGGGCGCGGGCGGGGGAGACAGGGAGGGGGTGCCTCGGAGGGGGATGGGGCGGGGTAGCCAGGGGCCCGGTGTGTCGAGTGACAGCTCGGGTCCCCGAGCTCGGGGCTGGCAGCCTGCCTGCCTCCCTCACCCCCTCAACTTACTTCTTTCTGGCTCTCTGGAAAGGGGAAGCGCCATCTTTGCGAGGCCGGCCCCGAGGTCTTTTGTCTGCGGCTGCGGGGCTCGGGGCCGCCGGGGCTCCCGGCTCCTCAGGGGGCGGCGGCGGCGGCGGCGGCGGCGGCGGCGGCGGCTGCTCCCCGCTCTTGTCCTCTTCCGACGACATCCTAGTCACCAGGAAAGACACATGGATCCTCCTCGTCGTCGTCCTGCTGCTGCTGCTGCTGTTGCTGCTGGGGGGCTCCTCCCGCCGCCGCCGCCGCCTCGGCTGCTCCTGCGACTCCTCCTCGGCTCAGCCTCTCGCATTTCCCGCAGCCCCGAGCGCGGCGGCGGCGGCGGCGGCAGCGGCGGCAGCAGCAGGTACCAGGAGAGGAGGCAACATGGAGCGAGCGAGCGAGCGACCCACACGCGCGCGCGCACACACACTCACTCACTCACTCACTCACACACACACACACACACAGAGACACACTCACGCCCGGAGGCCCCGAGGAGGGGACGGAGCCGAGCGTGGGGTGGGGGGCGGAGGGAGGGGGGGTGAGAACAGACAGGGCAACCCCAGCAGAGCGCTGGAGCGGGGCCGGCCCAAGGAGGAGGCGGGGGCTGGGGGGAGGAGGAGGAGGGGCGGGCGGCCCAGGCAGTCCCCACAGCGCCCCCCCAGCCCGGAGCCTCACGGGGGAGGCAGGGGTAGCTAGGGGCGGAGGCGCTCGCCCGGAAGGGGCGTCTGGCTCCGGGGTGGCTGCAGCGGCCGCCCGGGGGGCTTCCTCCCTCCCTCTCTAGTTCTCCGACCTCGGTCCTGGTCGGTCCGTCTGTCCGTCCGAGCCTCCCTCCCTCGCGCCGCCGCGGCCGGGGCAACGACGGAGCAGCGAGGAACCGACAGGGACGCGACGAAGTTTTGACAGCTGCTGCTCCAGGGGTGGTGGAGCTGGTGCTGGTGGGTCCCGGCCCCCGCTCCTGCCCCTCTCTCTCCCTCTGGCTGGGTTTTGGGTCTTTCTGTTGTTGTTGTTGTTTTACTATCACTCCCCCACTCTCCCGGAGCAAAGGAGGAAGTTTGACTGGGTGTGCGTGCGTGTGTGTGTTACACGGGGCTGTAGCGCAATGGCTGCTCCGCTGGCTAACCCTGAAGGCGACACAGCCCTCTCCAACTCTCACACACACCAACACATACACACACACATCACCTCCTCTACGCCCCTCGTTCTTTCGTTCCTCCCCCACTTCCCCCCACCAACTCCCCAGGGCCCCCTTCTCCCCGCGGCGGCCCCCTCCCCCTTTCCGGCGCCCACCGCCGCCACTCACAGTGCTCCCTCCGCGCCTGCGCTACTCCCCCTCCTCCCTCTGACGCGACGCTGCCGCCACTGACCTCACCCGCTCCCTCCCTCCCTCTCTTCAACCTCCTCCCCCGCCCCCTCCGCTCCCGCCCCCGCCCCCGCCCCCCACCCTTCCCTCTCTTGCTCGCTCTGGCTATCTCTCTCTCTCTTGACGTCGGGGCGGAGGCTGCAGCTGCGACTCCGACTCCGGCTTTGGAGAAAGCCAAGCTGCGGATCCGATAACCAGGATCTGGATCCAGCGGAGAACTCGCTACAGAGAGAAAGGCTGGCTGTTTAAAAACACGCACACGCATGTACACATGCTCACACACACACATACGCATAGAGTCCTATATATAAAGTAAACCTAGGATGTATAACACAATTGCAAATCTAATCTTGGGACGCGGTCATTTCCCTGCATGCTCCTCCACTCACTAACTCACAGGCGCGCGCCCGCGCCTTTCGCAGCATATATAGAAATTACGCTCAGTAAACACTCTTCCTGTAAATAATTTTTCTAGTTCTCTCTGGATTCAGTAAAACTTCACCACATATTCCCACATAGTAACGTTTGTTGTTTAAGTATCCTGCAAGGGCCCGTAAAAGCACTGTTATCCAACAATTATGTTACGAAGCATTAAAAGGCAAAACAAAGAAACCAGTAAACCTGAGTAAATTGGTTCTAGTGTTCTGTAGTTAAGAAAAGATAAAATTCTTGGGTTCACGTCTCCTAATACATAGTGGTAAAATATAAAGATATGAGGACTGAAAACAGTTGCCTTTCTCCTTTAGAACCTTTAGAATGCTAGGGTTCTAGATTTCTTATAAATTTTGAGGAAACACTCAGACCAACTATTGATAATATAACAAATACCCTTATGTAGTAAGTGTTCCCTTTGTAGGTGGCATGGGCTAGTGTGATGAGGATGCTAAGACAAGTGATTCCAGGGATAGTTAGCCATATTTTCTTCAGACTCTACTGTCTAGTTTAAGGTACATACATTATCCTTCCTACTCTGATATTGACCCGAGATTAATAAGAAATACAATTTGATTTTTTTGTTGGCACTAAGACTAATCATCTGTGCTTTCCTCCCACATCCCATTATAACCAAAGACAAGGTTCTGGTTTTGATTTTGATTTTTAAAGATAACTAGGGTTAAAGAATTAAAAATGTGGAACCTAGACAGTATCTTAGATGTCACCTAGTCAAAGTCCCTCATTTTGCATTTAATGCCCATAGGAGGCACCAAGAAGTTAAGGGCCTTGCCCAAGATCACACAAAAAGCAAGACTGATACCTTTGAAAGTTTTATTAAATTCTCTGAGGTCAGAATGAGCTGTTGTTTTTGAAGGAAGGGGAAAATTTCACAACAAATTTACATCCAAAGGTGTAGTGTTTGACAGAATCTGAAATATGAAGACAGACTATAATTAAATAACATGTAAGAACATAACAATATAAGGTAATCCTAGGGGCCAACTTTAAGTCTATCAGTTTAATACAAATATTAATTTGCCCATCTTTTATTTGTTGAGAGGAAGCATATGATATTTTAAAATAAAATAACTGTTAAAATTCTGTGCTATTCATCTAAAATCCTTTTTGTGTACAATGTTAAATTTTAATTAAACAAATTAGATTTTAGGTTCAAATTTCTGACAAAATCTATCACTCTACATTTTTGCTTTTTTAACACTAAAAAAATTGCTGCTTCTAGTTCAGTATTAAAAGCAAAAATTACCCCAAAAAAAATCCCTACCAACTCAATTTTTACCTACACTTAATCATTTAAAATTAATAATAGACATTCGGAACTTCACCTAAAAATCCAAAATTATTTACAAAAATTGTTCCAATGACCCAAAGAAAATAGCAATGAAATGGAGAGCTAGGAGATGAGGGTGGGAGAAATGGAATTGTGTTCAAAAAAGCACTTACTAATAAATACTATTGTGTTTTTGTCCAAATCACTATTTTAAATAGAAAGACTTGATCCTTGCCCTCCAGCGGTTTTAAATCTATGAAAAGCAACATGATATAAGAGAAACAAAGTTAACATATGGACAATTAAGACAAGCTATTCATGAGTAATAAAGTGTTCACTGAAGGGATAGATCATAGTATTTAGAGATCATATAATTGAATCCCCACTTTACAGATTAGGATAGTGAGTCCCAGAGAAATGAAATTACTTGCCCAAGATCACAAAGGTAGTTAAGTAATAAAACTGAGATTCGATTTTTAAAAATGTTTTGAAGGATTTTATTTTTCTCCGTCCTTCCCCCCTACTTAATAGTGTTTTATTTTTTCTAATTACACATAAAGATAATTTTCAACATTCACTTCTATAACATTTTGAGTTCCAAATGGTTTTCTCCCTCCTCTCCCTCCTCCCCAAGATAGTGAGCAATCTGATATAGGCTATACATGTACAATGAGATCTAAATTTTGTAACTGTGATTCCAAAGTCAGTCTTTTTCCACTATACTGTCTCTCATGTTCATACTGAATAGATTAAATTAGAAGACATCTTGCCAGTTGAAGTTGAAAATTCCCAGAATTCTCCTGGTAATAAGCTATGATTGTAGCCATGGCTTCAACACTACAGTAGACCTATGAGCTATCGTCCTTGTGAATGCTTCATCAGTATAGATCAACCCATCTATAGGTCATCCTATGTGTTCCTGTCCCTCTTCTCCCATATGTCCCCCGTATAAGATCTATTCAATGTGCTAGAGGTCTTCTTCTAGGTCTAGTGACTATGTGCCACTCAAGCTGTCCACCTGATTATACCTTGTACTTACTACATGATCAGCTAACCTCTTACAATCATATTTTTTCCCTTGACAATGCCAATTAGACCACTATTTGTGTATAACTCATCATTGGAATTATACTCCAATCTCGTTCATGGCCATCATAAATAGAAAAACAGCTTTCTCGGGTTCATTGCCTTTGTAGTTATATACACATACAAAATTAACTGATTTGAAGGCTACCCCCTTAAAAGTAGGCCAAAAATTACACTCAGAATAGAAATTCAGTGTTAGTTGGTGATTTATGGAAATAATTTGCTTTTTAAACTTTACCGTATAATCTATCTATGCAAAGTTTGAAATGGCCCCATAAATTTATATTGTAAGTGACCATAGCTATAACCATGTTTGAATACCATCTATTGAAGATTTGACACTGGTTAGTTTAATCCATATCAACAGCCAAACCATATAATTCATGTAAAAGTAGTCATTTTGGGTCATTTGATGGGTATTTGATGGTCTACCTACAAGAGTCAAACTAAACATGGCAATTATGACATTACTTCTTTATTTTGCATTATGTAGACACAGACTTAGAGACAAAATAACATTATCATTAAAAAATTATAACATTTCACATCATAAAAGGGGAAATGTTTTTTCAGTATCACCAAAAAAAAAAAAATACCAAGCCCACAACTTTATCTTTCCAAATTTGATTGTGGAGTGAATAAACTAGCCTGTATACTTATAAATACAATGTATCCATATACAATGTGCTTGTGCTGTTTTCTAGTTGTTACACTTGACATTTCTGAAAATTCATGAGTGGTGCAGCAGCAGCAACAACAATATCTGTGTATGTGGCACTGAATTTTTTCAGTAAGGTTTAACATGCCTTAAGAAGAGAAGCCCTCCATTGCCTAGCCAAAAAAAAAAAAAGAGAGAAGCCACTCTTCTGAGTCTCCAAAGGGAAAACAAAGTTAAGAGTTGTAACATGTTCTCCAGATGCATACTTTTTTTAAAAAGGTTTTTATTATAGTAATAGCTTTTAATGCACATTTCCCCTTTGTCTACAGGGATCTGTCACCTATAGTATTATCAGTCTCCATATGTGTTATGGTTAGTATTAAAGTTGTTTCTTTTTAGGCATCTCTATCATAAAAGCAAAGGAAACACATTCCCAGGGTAAGGTCTTCCCTAATATGATTTAGTGGGGTTAATCTGTCTTCCTATACTAAATAGTATATACACTTTCCTCTTTTGCCAATCTCTGTCTACCCATATGCTACATTTATCTTGTCTATCCTGGAGGCCTCTAGCAAAAGTTATTGCTGTCCAAGGTGTCTTTGCTTAAAGGCTTATAAAGGAAGAAGACGTTCCTAGGGGTATGTGGGAAAGATATTTCAAAAGATTTTATAAAGCCTAGAAGGAACCCCCTTTATAAAACTACAAACAGAGGTGAATTTAAAACTATTCCACTATACTGTCCCTCTATTTCTCTATTTTCTATCCATGCCCCTTCTCTCCCTCCACCCCTTCTAATCTCACCTTTCCTATCCCTGACTTGTTCCTGATTTTCTATACTTCAATATGTGTCTACCACTATATCACCCTAGAATTCCTCTCAAAAAAAAAAAAGAATTTCTCTCAGTGCCTTAGGCCTCCTAGCACTAGGGCATCTTAACATCCCGTTTGCCTGCTCTGCCTGGAATACCGTTCCACAAGACCTGTCCCCCTTCTCCCATTAGTGAATTCCTCCAAAAGCTTCCATTTTATGGAATGGAAGCCTGCCTTCATTCTCCTCCTAGACCTATTCCTGACATTTTGGATTTCAAAACCATACTAGCCCTCTCCCCCCAACTCCCTCCCCACTATATACTTCCATCCTTTTCCCTTTTCAGCTCCCTTGTATGTATTATCTTTCCCCTTTAGAGTGTAAACTCCTTGAGGGCAGACTGTCTTGTTTGTCTTTGTATATCCAAAACTTAGCACAATACCTGGAACATAGTGAGAACTTATTCCTTCCTTCCTTCCTTCCTTTCTTCCTTCTTTCCACCTCTCCAAAAGTCTATCCAAAGAAAATTTGACTGAAACTCCCTATTTTTATCTCTAGATCAGTCTGTTTTTCATATCTCATATCTGTCTGTAAATCATCAATTGTCTTTCATTCCCTTGCCTTGTCCAGCCTTTTGCTGTCTCAGTGATATTGTTTTGATGAATTGCACAGGAACACACAATCGACCAGTTATAGTCTCATAAGCTGGAAAATCTGAAAAACAAATCAAGAGTCACCTTAGGGAACCTGATAAACAGGCACAAGTTGATATGATTGCCAATAAAATATTCTCTGTCTCTGTCTCTCCCTCTCTGTCTCTCTGTGATTATATATCTACATGTATATATTATATATATGATATATGTATGTATGTGTTTAAATGTAAACATACATACATACACACACATATAGTATGTATCCTTATGACTTCCTTTTCTCTGTGTTGCCTCCAAAGCTTGGAAATTCTAGACTGGAAGCTCAGATGCCATTACACAATATTGGCCTCTTCCAGTCAAAGGGGCTTCCTTGAATTCCAAATATCCTTCTGTGACCTCATATCCTGTTTCTTAAGCCCCACCCCCAACCTCAACTCTTGGTTCCACCTGTCTTCTGTGACTTCATCCTGCAGAATTGCAATTGAAGAAAGAATTTCACTTACTTGAGTTTAAGGGGTCTTAATAGCCAACTCCCTTCTGTAAGTTAATGGTGGGGGGGGGGGGAGAAGGTTACTGTATCTCCAGACTCAGAGCATTATGGCTTTCCCAGGCCAAAGACTTCTCCCATGACATCATCAGTTTCCTTGGATTGAAGCCATGACTTCTCCAGATTAGAGTTAATGGTGCTTGGTGGTAGGAATGGAAATTTCCACCTATTTGCTACCCCTGGAGCTTAAAGACAAGAAATGATTATCTACTCAATGCTACAAATTCACACAGACCTTTTGCCCCCATAGTATTCTTTCTTCTCTCCTCAGGCAATGGCAAATCTGGACCCCTCAGCAGTAGATCTCCCACAGGTGCTGAATCAGGAGATAAAATGTCTGAGCAAACAAGAGAAATCCTTGCTGGGCAGTGTAGCAGCAATCAAGACGTTGGCTAGTATTCTTCAAGGCTGCTATGGCCCTTATGGCAGGCTAAAGTTCCTGGTGACATCTCAGGGAAAAGCTGTCTGTACAGGGTATGCAGCAACAATTCTTGGAGCCTTGGAACTAGAACATCCAGCAGCTCAACTTGTCCGGGAAGCAGCACAGACCCAAGCTGAGAACAGTGGGGATGGCATAACTTTTGTTGTTCTTCTGGCTAGGGCCTTGCTTGAGCAGGCTGAAGTCATGGTGCGGGCTGGCCTGCCCCACTCTCGAGTCCGTGAAGCCTATGCTATGGCAACCAATGAAGCCCTGAAAATACTGCCCACCTTGGTTGTTTGTTCCTTAGATTCTTTGGAAGATCCAACTTGGGCCCTCCGCTCTGCAGTATATACCCACTCTCTCTCCCACCCTGAGTACTTGGCAAAGTTGGTGACTCAGGCATGTCATGATTCCCGGGATCCTGATGGAAGCTTTAACCCTGAACGCTTGGCAGTTTGCTCAGTGCCTGGAGCAGGTCTGGGTGATTCAAGGCTGATACCAGGATTGGCAGTGTATGGAACACCTTGTGGGAAAATTACAGTAGTGCTTGGAGGAGCCAAGGTTGCACTATATTCTTGCCCCTTTGGCCCTGCTAGCCCCCATACACCTGCTGCTGCTCACCTCACTTGCCCTGAAGACTTAATTAACTACAAGAAAGGAGAGGAGATGATGGCATCAATGCTAGTGACCCAGCTTGCAGCTAAGGGTATCAATGTGGTGGTGGTATGGGGACAAATAAATGAGATCAGTCTACTGCATGCTGATCAGCATGGCATCATGGTCGTGCAGGCAAAATCCAAGCAGCAGGTGGTCCAGCTGAGCCATGTCATGGGTATAACTATGCTGCCTTTCTTGATGCCTCCCCTTGTAGCAGGGCAATGCCTTAAGGTATATACAAAGGAAATGGCACTGGGATTGGCTGTGATATTTGAATGGGATTGCTTATTTGCACCTGCTTTCACTGTGATCCTTCGGGGATCCACAGCTGAAGGACTAAAGGGAGCAGAACAGGCTGTTCATCATGCCATAAATGCCTATGCACAGCTGAGTCAGGATCCCCGCTTGCTACCAGGAGCTGGGGCAACAGAGTTGGCTCTAGCTAAAAAACTTTCAGAACTGGGAAACCAATTGGATGGGCCCAATGGTCCTGGGATCCTTGCATTTGCCAGGGCTCTTAGGTCACTTCCTGTAGTCCTAGCAGAGAATGCAGGCGGGCAAGGGGCAGATGTACTAGCACAACTTCAGGCACATCACCAGGCTGGGAACACGGTTATGGGAGTGGGGGATGAAGGGACAATAAATGTAACCCAGGAAGGAGTATTTGACCCCTTCATTGTCAAGACCCGGGGACTACGGGTGGCAGCTGATGTGGTGTTGGAACTAGTGACTGTAGATGATATCCTGATTGCCAAGAAAAGCGGGGAGTATATCCACCCAAAGGACAGGGATTCTGAATCAGATAATCTAAAACAACACCCAACCTCCCTCAATAACAACTAACCCTTGGAAGAAATAAGTTGGCAACTCCCTCAATAAATGGAGACCTCCAAGGAGGGCAGTACCACACCCAAAATGAATTGTGTACCTCATTTATTCCCTCCACATTTTGTGCCAATAAACGCACTTATTCTAGAGAAGAAAGGAAGGAAGAAAACATAGAAATATTTGTCACCTTTCTCCCAATTTAGTTCTTCCTTCCTCAGTCCCCAGTGTTTGCTCTTTCACTTCTCAGTCTTAGAGCCTGCATCCCTCCTATCTTGCCAAGAATCAATAACCCCATCTCTCTCCATCTGACCTTGTTTTCTCCTCAGATTTGGGGCATATTTAATTTCAATGCAGTAAGACACTACATCTCCAAAATGAAGAGACTGAACTGTATGTTCCCTTAACTCCCTTCCAGCTATAAATCCTATGGCCTTTAAAGTATTTACTGGGTGCCTACTATGCACCGAGCATTGTATAGGAAACCAAAAGAAGTATATGGGCTTCTTGTACTCTAGACTCTTATTGTCTAGTTGAAGAGACAAATCATACACATAAGTAGAGTGCAAGACAAAAACCTCGACAAATTGAAAAACTGATGAGATAATCAAAAACCTTGGGCCATCCCTAGAAAAGATTTAGGTCTGGGGGAAAATAGGAATTATCTAAAACCTCTCCCTCACATACACATTTTTTTATACACATGAAAATAAAGGGAAGTACTTCACCAAAGGGTTAAAAAGAGCATTCACTGGCAGCTAACGGGCTGTATTTGGAAGTGGGGAGGGACAGCCTGACCTGCTTTTCCATGGTGACAATGGAGAGTAATGAGCTGATTGTATGTACAGAAGCCTCAGAGCTTTAGCCTCAGCTGTGGGTTACCTTCTTCCTCCTAATGGTGTCTCCTTATAGTTCATTCCCCAGGCATCAAGTGTCTGGTATCTAAAAGGGCCAGGGGGTTGATGTAGAACAGGAACATTAAGTTCTCCATGTTCTCTGATTGTCCTTATCCTAACATTGACCATTATTCAGCCTTCACTTCATAAGTGTTAAGATCCTGAATCTTGTCCAAGCATCTCAGAGCAGAGAACTCAAGTTCCTGTAGGGCTTAGAGAATCAACTACATAGTTCTTCTCTCTTTTTTTTTTTTCACTTATGGTTTTTCCCAACTTTAAAACCAAACACAGTTCAGGGCTTGTAGTTACAGCAACCCTTTTTCTGTGCAAAGAGATAGTAGGCAGACACTCAGTTCCCTCATTGTTTGGTCTTTTCCAAATCTCTAGCTTAACTACATAGCTTCTGGTTATTTCTAATACCAGCTTCATAATCAGTCAGGGAAGCTGGCAAGGAGCACTAGGGGAAGAAAAATCGAAATGACTATTTCAAGGTCCACCGTAAGGAATTGGTTGCCTGTCACCGATTGGGTGGGGTGGCAAGAATCAATAATTCAAGATCTTGGGAAGAAAAAAGTTGATGATAACACTGTTGAGGGGAGGTAATCCACATCAAATATCATTGGTAAAGATTTGATATCCAAAACATATGAGGAGTTAACAAATATATAAAATTAAAAATCAATCCTCAATAAATAAGTGTACAAAGGATACAGTTTTCAAAAGAACATCAAATTATCAACTATAGAAAAACATGCTCCAAATCACTAATAAGAAAAATTCATATTTTAATACTCTGAGGTTTCACCTCACATTGTATGAATTGGCAAGACAGCAAAACAGGGGAAACAGTCTAAGTCAGACCTGCACAACTTGGCAGTAGGTGGGGGGCCAAAATTTAAAATAGGCTAAACTTCTTTGGGCTCACTTTCCAACTAATGGTATAATTAATGATTAAACTACTTCGCAAATAAATATTTTTTAAAAGAGAAATTTCAATTAATATCAATTAATTATACTTTTTAAGATTTTTATTTATCATGCAATCACATTAATGTTAAAAAAAAATTACTTTGCTAAGTGGTACAAGTTTTAATACATTTTCCAGGTTTTCTTACTGTTTACATTTAGTTAATGGGATGTATCACATTTCTTGTCAGCAATCAGTTTATTGTACTCTGGAATCATATTTGAAATCTATTTCTTTAGAAATATGAAAACTAACCTTAGTAGCTGCCTCATTTTCTGAGTTTACTTTCTTGAAAAACTGTTGTTCCCCACTGAGATTTTTCAGCAATTTGGATGCTCTCATTTGTTTTCCATTGGTGTCTAATTTGCTTATGTCAAGATGTTTTGATTCAAAATGGCATTGAAGATTGTATTCCTTCGAAACGACTATAACTTCTCAGCAAACAAGGCACAATATTTTGTCTCTGGTGTAAATAAATAAGTATCTATTTGTCCACTCCAGATTAAACACTCTATGTTCTGATTTCAATCTTCTGTTTCTTTTTACCACCCATTTTACAAAGTCACCCCAAAAACTTTAACGTTAGAACCAAAAAAATCTCCACAGCAACTGCTCACATACAAAGAAATACTGAACTGAATGTCTGACCTTAGAAAGAGTGGCAGACTCTCACATAACTTGGAGGGTGGCTGCACAGCAAAGGAGTGGAAGACGTCCTCAGTTGTAACTGCTCATTGCATAGCAGGCATCAGCTGCGTTGGCACATGGCTGCACTCACTTTGTCCCTGTTCAACACCAGTAACAACCAAAAACATGGCAAAAAGATATGACTCTTTCTCTTCTCAGATTAGAGACAGACTGACAATGGTTGGTTGCCATGAATCACATGACAAGCAGAAGAGAGTGCACAGTGTAACTCACCTACCTACCAAGTTACGTGATGGTCACAGTAGTGACTAGTGAAAGGTGGGTTAAGCAGAGCATGGACAAAGCACTTGTTACATCTTTACCTTCTTTTACATCCTCTACATTTTTTTTTCAGTGAGGCAACTGGGGTTAAATGATTTACCCAGAGTCACACCACTAGTGAGTATTATGTGTCTGAGGTCAGATTTCAACTCAGGTCCTCCTGACTCCAGGGCCGGTGCTCTATCCACTGTGCCAGCTAGCTGCCCCCATCCTCTACATTTTTCGGAGGCCTGCTCAAAATCCTTTGGCCACCTGCAAGTGGCCGGCACAGGCCATATGTTGTGCAGGCCTGTTCTAAGTTGATGAACTATATAGATAGATATACCAATAGGCTATTGGTGGAGCTGTGAATTGATCCAAATATTCTGAAAAACAATTTGGAATTATGTGAGAAAAGTGGCTAAGCTATTCATATGCTTTGAGAAGGTAGCACATAAACCTTAAGAGGTCAAAACTATTTTTTTAAAAAAGGGTCCAAACCATATGGAAATATTCAAGTAGCACTTTTTTGTGGTAGCAAAAGACTAGAAACAGTATATAACCATTGATTGGAGAATGACTGAACAATCTATGTTTCATGAATGAAATAAAGTATTTTTACGTAGTAAAATCACTGAGGAATCCAGAGATACATGTGAAGATTTGTATGAACTAATAGAGATTGAAATAAATAGAACCAGAGAAACAATATGCTTAATGAGTAGAATAATGTAAGTGAAGAGGCAGCTAGGTGGCACAGTGGATAGAGCTCCCACCTTGGAGTCAGGAGGACCTGAGTTCAAATCGGGTCTCAGACACTTGATAGCTGAGCAAGTTATTTAACCCTGATTGCCTCAGCAAAACAAACAAACAAAAAAACCCAATGTAAGTGACAAGATCAGTAAAAAGAAGCTGAAAAACAAATAATTGTCCCTTCCTCTTAGAAAAGAAATGGGAGACTACTAGGGCATGTTGTAAGACTTGCTTACTATATCCATTATATTTTACTTAATTATTTTTCTTTGTTTCTAAGGAGAGTTCAGTTTGGGGAGGTGCAGTTTGGGGATTGATATCCAGAAATAAACATGATATAAAAATGAAAGGCATTAATAAAACTAAAAAGAGCTGAGGTCAGAGTTGGAAGTAAGTTTGCAATATCCTTGCACCATAGATTACGTGCTTATCAGAGCTACAAGTAGAACAAAGCTGAGAATCAACTTTGGAGACAAGATGAAACATACTGGGGATAAGTTAAATATAAATTTCAAAAATCAATTTCACAAGCACAAGATAGAATGTATTTCATTCATTCGCTTACTCATTCAAAGATAAACAGCCAGAAAGAACTGAAATGTATGCAAAGCTGTAAGCAGGAAAGTATTCAAAGGAAGTCAGTTAGTAGTTCTCTTGAGAGAGACCTGAGAGGTTTTAGTAGGCTGCAAACTCATTATGAGTCAAAAGGGTGGTATGGGGAAAAAAGGAGGAGGAAGAGGAAGAGGAGAGAATGAGAAGAGAAGAAGAAGAAGAAGAAGAAGAAGAAGAAGAAGAAGAAGAAGAAGAAGAAGAAGAAGAAGAAGAAGAAGAAGAAGAAAAAGAAGAAGATGATGATGATGATGATGATGGTGATGATGATGATGATGATTTAGGAAGAACATTGATGTGTTGTAGAACATCAAGAAGAGGGCACCCAAGGTGGTAAAGAGATAATTCAAAATAACGGTTGAAGGAAGTGAGATAAATTAGCCTGGCGAAAAGAAGATATAAGTAATACATGATAGTTATCTCTAAGCGTTTGAGGGGCTGTCACATGTATACGAAGGTAAATTTGATTTGTTCTGTTTAGCCCCAGATAATAGACCAAGGAGTAACTGGGCAGAAATTGCAGTGAAGCAAATTAAAGAAAAACTGAGGAATAATTAAAGCTATCCAAAAATGGAATGGGCTCTCCAAGTTCTTCCTTACTGGAAGTCATCAAGCAATGACTAGATGACGACTTGTTGAGTATGTTGTACAGTGAATTATTATTCAGGCATTCATTGTACTAGAGGGCTTCTATGTTTCCTCTGAACTCTGAGATTCTATGATTCTATAATTTCTCCTGCTGTAGCTACCCAAGCATCACAGCTTTTATCAATTTTCCAGACAAACATGTTTCTAAGCTGATATGTGCTCCTAATATGGTACAAAAGTAGCTATATTTTCATGTGGGCATCTCAAGAATGAAAAATTTACCTTAGCAGAGGGCCTGACACACAGTAAACCTCTGACAGATGTTTTTTATTCATTCATTCATTCATTCATTCATTCATTCATTCATTCATTCATTCACTCATTCTGAAATGAGCAGCCAGAAAGAACTGAGGTATATGTGAAGCTGTTAACAGGAAAATATTCAAAAGAAACCAGTTAGAATATCTAAAAAGAATGGGGCACAGGGTTTACAAATAAATGGCTGGAAACCAGAATTCAAGGAATGGAAAATATCATCTAGGGAAGAATGAAAGTGTTTTAAATGACTTGTTTTAGTACTAGTACCAAACTTTTGCCCACATTAACACATTTTAAACACATAGTTTCCTGTACTTCTATGTTTTTGACTGTTTTTGGGGAGAAGATTTAAACTTGCAACAATATATATATATATATATACACACACATATATATGTATATGTATTTGTATATGTTTATGTATACATATATTATATATATATATATACATATACATATACACATATATGTATATGTATTTGTATATGTTTATGTATACATATATTATATATATATATATATATGTAATTATAAAATAACTTAGTCATTGTCCCTCATTTGCTACCAAGAGATCTTGAAAGCAGTAATTTGAAGGGCCAAGGAAGGATAAATATCTTGCCAGGAAGATTTGGGGGTGGGGTCCTCCCAATGGGAATCTTTTTATAATGCAGTATATACCATTTGGTACTAATGCATTTCACTGGCAAACAGAAATAATGCCTCTTTATAAACTTCCTTTTGAGTTGGGGTAACTCATTAGTTGTATCCAGAGAGGAATGCTGAAACTTTTCAAGTTACAAGAATATATTCCCTAACCTCCAACTGAAAGATAGGTTGCTTCATTTAGGACCTCTTTTCACTTTAATCCCTCACAAACTTGCTGCTTTGCTATTACTAATATTATTCATAATAATTATGATGAATTCGTGGACAACTGCAGTTTCATGTGAAAAGCATTTACAATTTTCTTAAATTATTTGCTGTGCTGTGTCCTTCACTTTGGATTTTAATTTAGATTGTCCAGAGCTAGAATGAAAATTTAGACATTTCCAAATATGAGAAACTTTTCCATTTTCATCCAGATGATTAGCACTGGAAAGACAAAAGCAAAACAAAACCAAACCAAACCTCAAAAAACACTGGACTTCAAATCAGAGAGCCTAAAATCAGACCAGGCACTATTAGTAACTTTGTGACCTTGGAAAAGCCAATTAACTTCTGTGAACCTCAGGTCTCTCATCTGTAAAATGAAGAGTTTGGACTAGATAACCTCTTAAGTACCTTCCATCCATAAAATTATGATATTGATCTTTAAAAGGAGGGCTTTGAACTAGATTATTTTTGAGGAAACTTAAAGCTTTCTATCCTAGGCTTAATGTGTTAAAGGGGAACTAAGATTTCTCATTTTTGTGAGGTTTAAATTTGTACCATGGTCTGATTGGGATTATGTACTGCATTAGAATAATGTTGCCTGTGGAAATTAATCCTATGTTCCCCACATAGGTATTAGATTTAAGAATGGAAGAATCCAAGAAACTGGAGCACAAGAAATAGCTCAGATTTATGAATAATTATTTTTTGAAACTGTAATTATGCAGACTTAGGATTGCTGTTAAGTGGCATTTTGCTGCATTGTAAAACATAAATTTTAAATTAATTATTATCTATACATTTCCTTAGAAAGTTTTGTAGGCCACATTAATGAACAATTAATGGCC